TCCATTATTTAAACCGTCCTATCCGGGGAAAACGTTCATCCGACGGTGATTTTCCTGGGCATTGACATAATATAATTAATCAACTGTGAATTAGGAGAGTGGCTCTCGCTTTTGTCGGGACATCGACGATTTCGGAAAAGTCATTGGAGAACAAGATGAATATTTCATATTTTCTCGCGGGATTAGCAATGATCATCTTCGATTATTCGTGATAGATTCGTGGCGAGTCATTTTTTTATTATCTCATAATTGAGTTTTACTGCCGAGTAATTTTTATATGCGTATAATTGTAGGTTTATCGCCGTGCACGCTGTGAAATTAGCGCGAGAACAAAATTCATAATTCTCATATAATAGTGTTCGTATTTAATAAAAGCGAGTGCAAAAGATTACTTTGACAAATCATTGTGGTCACCGGAATAGTTATCACCGAAAATATAATATGTTTAATAATTAATAAAACGAAGTGCTTCTAAAGAAATTTTAAGCTATAATATACTTCGTTATTTAAAGAAAAGATATTCATTATCGTTGATCTAGATTTGTTGTCGTTTTATTGCTAATCTTGCAATATATATATGTCGCTACATTTTGCCTCCAAGTGAATTATTCATACATATATAAGCATACATATAAGCAAAAGTAAATAATAAATACATAATTAACTTTATAAACAGTACATATATTAATATTAAATTATTATCAAGTAAATGTGAAATATATCACGTGAAATATTCGTTGAAACGATTTAAAAACTGTGAGAGAAATTTTTGGTTACAAAGAACACTGCAGAATTGCCACAGATTAAATCTGTGGAATTGCCGTATTAGTATAACCTAACCTAACCTAACATAATTTTAACCTCAACTTGCAGCTCGCAGTTTCGTCCGGCTGTCGTAAATTTGCACCGTGCACCGTGCGCCGTGAGCCGTGCGCGATGTCAGGCGATTCGCCGACGACACCGGCCGCGATTCCTATGTCGATTCGCTTCATCGTCTTCCACGTGACACTCACCCCCGTTGCCGGTCCCCGATCATGAACGCGGGATACGACGAGGATCTGTCGGAGAATCGGTTCCTGCAGGCTCTCCGGGATGAACACAGTGCCATGTTTCTGCGGGCCGTCCAGGAAGGCTGGATCATCTGCGTTCCGCGCAGCGACAGCTTCGCCAGCCGCAGATTGCAGGAGAACGAGGTGAACGCTCACATCCTGGTTCCTGGACAGGACCTCTCCGTCGCCCGCTTCAGCAGCTTGAGCGGCAGGGAGATCCTACTCGAGGACCGGGTCCTGCACGTCAACCACAACGACGTGGAGCAGTATTCCTCGCGCTTGCTCTTCGAGGAGATCTTCTACAGCGATGATTTGCGTAAATATCGTGTATGGTAAGCTGATACTTGAATGATACAATTTCGGATCATTCGGATGTTGGCTTGACGTTGTTGTTGTGACCCGTAGGTGCATCGAGCGGCCCCTGGAGGCCAGCATGTGCGTCTCGGACGACTGCGTGAGCGTGATTACGAATCTCCAGGAGGCTGTGAATTTTCTTCAGGTGGAACTGCCCGACAGGCAGCTGCGCAACGACTTCGAGGCCAAGATCAAAGACTTCCTGTACATTAATAAGAATCTAGAGCGTAAACCGTTGCAGGTGCAAAGGGATCTGGTGCATGAGCTGTACGCGAGTTGCCTTGAGATGCTGCTGGAGAACGCGTCGTTGAGAGAGAGGGCTCCGGGCAACAAACAGTATCAGTGGAACGTCAGGGTGTCGCTGGAGACGTACGTTCTCTACGCATTGAGAGATGTCCTGCTGAAATCATTGTCCGCCTGTACTGCCATAGAGGATGCGAATCTGAACAAGATTATTAGGAATTTAGACGGGATCCAACTGAGCGATCTCCGAGTACGATCGGACTTGCAGTCCCGGGTCCACGGGGGAAAGGTAGAACTGTCGCGATTGGATTGCTTCGTGACCGTGCTGGGCAAGATCGAGTGCCTCAGAAGGACCGTGAATTACGTGTCGCGCGGAACGTCGTCGTCCGTCACGTCGGACGATCTCCTGCCGGTGCTCGTGTTCCTCGTCGTCAATGCCGGCCTGTCGAACTGGACGGCGCAGCTGTGCTTCATGAGACAATTTCGTCTCTCCACAAGCTCTGCTTATGAGGCGGACGAGACTGGGTTCTTGATAACTTCGCTGGAAGCCGCGATCATGCACATCAAATCCGGGGTAATTTACGGTGAGGAGAAATGCGCGAATAATTTGGAAAAATATGGTCAATTAATGAATAAATCGGAACGTTCGTCTGTCGGTTATTTGTTCGCGTGCATAAAAAACGGCAATCTGTCCGAGGTAAAAAGAATCTTGACTTACGACGGATCCAATCAGGTCAACGACGTTACGCTTTGCCATCCATTGTGTACCTGTGCGTCCTGCGAGCGAAACTGGACGAGGCAACGGGACCTAAAAGCGTATCCCAAGGATGACAAGGGTCTGACACCGTTGCACGTCTCTGTGCTGCACGATCAGATAGTGATCGTGGACCATCTTCTCGACCGCGACACGGATATAAACGCCGTCGACTCAAACGGCATGACTGCTCTCCACTACGCCTGCATCAAGGGTCATCAGAACATCCTGCTGCTACTGCTGCACGCGAACGCGAATCCCGCGGTGACGGACTCGCGGGGAAACACGCCGTTACACCTGGCGGTGGACCGCGGTCACGAGAGCTGCGTGAAGGCGTTACTGTACCTGTCGGAACACATGAGGATGCCGATCAACGTGAGCGTCGCGAATGACAACGGCGACACGCCGCTGCATCTCGCGGCCAGATGGGGATATTGCGCGATCGTCGACATCCTCCTGGAGTACGGCGCGAGCTGCAAGATTACCAACAAGAAGGGTCAGAGCCCGTCGATGGTGACGTACAGCGAGACCATCGCCGAATCACTCAGATGTAACGCGACGTCGAGCAACATCTGCCACGACGTTGCCCTGTCTCAGCGGCGTGCCCTGGCACAGCCTCGTCAATCGGTGCCCTTTCAGCAACGTCGCTGGGCCACGTTGGAGAATAAGAGCCTGTCGCATCCTAAGAGCTACGCCAACGCGATGCAACATCGTATGATGGATAAGCTATTCGCCGCGATAACCGACGGCGACGTATGCCTGGCGTGTTACTACCTAGGACTGGAAGTTTATCGCGAGCGGGCGCCAGGCGCCCGTGCGAATCTGTGCCATCACCCACTCTGCGACTGCGAACGGTGCTCGGCGATCGGCGAGGGTAAGCTGGAGCAACGGCAGCGGCAACGAGCGCTTACGATCAACGCCTGCAATGGCCTAGGCGAGACAGCGTTACACGTGGCGAGCGCGACCGGTCGCACCAGGATGGTCCAGCTGCTGCTGGACGCCGGCGCGAACGTGAACGTGACGACGAGGCCGGAGGGTCGTACCCCGTTGCACCTGGCGTGCCTCAACGACCGCGTCGACGCGGCGAAGCTGCTGCTGAACTGCGCAACCTGCGACGTGGACGCCAAGGATCACAACGGCGACACGCCGTTGCATCTGGCGACCGTGGCCGGCAACGTCAAGTCCGTCGGCCTGCTCATCAGACACGGTGCGTGCACCAACGTGCGCAATTTGCAGAACAGGACACCGCTGCGCCAGGCGGAGGAGAGGCTGTCCCTCGTCTTCTCCGCGAATCGCACCGGTATACTGAAGATTCTGAAACAAAACTCGGCACAGCCAGTCAGCGACTGACCGGCACCAGCCATTCCGCTTCCTTGTGTCTTAAGCTGCTCTGCCTTTTCTGTGTCTTTTCTACTTACCTCATAAATTAGTCAGAACAGTTTTGCTAGAAATAGCTTTAACGTAATACTCACATAATTTCTTCATCTGATATTTCGTTGCAGCGGTTGAACAAAAGAATTGTCCATTCAGACTTGTGTTCCAATATATTGTAAATTATACTAACAATAAGAGAAATCTCTGCACAGAAAGACGATGATTAATTTTTATTCTATGAGTGATTTTGTTTGTATTTCTTTATTATACGTATCTTATAAATGTGTGATTACCTGTATCTTGTAGCATAATTCTAACTTGGTTAGAATGTAACTTAACTTTGCTCTAACATATGTTAATTGCAATTCTAAAATTAAATCTCATGCGCATCTTGATATATTTTTTCCAAACTGAACGAGATTTCTTTTTGAGAATCGCTTGCGTAAGTTGCACAAATTGTACACACCATGCCGAGCAATATTAGTGAGATTAACATTAGTAAATAAGTAAGACAAACAGTGCAATATAAGTCAGGTTACAAATATATAGTCTTATATATTTTATATAATATAATCAGAAGCTATAAAAATATATATTTAAAGGAATAAAACTTGTAAATTATTTGTTTTGTATGAAATAAATAATACGTATATGTATTCGTACAATTTGTGCTTTATTTATACAACTAGACACTACAGACGCGCGCTACGCGCGCGCTATTTATCTTTAACATTTCACTATTAACCCTATTATACACAACTGTCAAAATATACAATGACAGCTGCAAATGAAGTAAGCGCAGCAAGAAAACCAATCGGCATCGCGGAAAAGCGGCAACAATAAACTTCACATCTCCTTTTTAGAAAAGGATTTAGATATTGTAACTCGAGGTGACAAGAGAATTGTACAGAGTAAATGCATAAAAACTTAATACATTTTACACTTTACAATTATATATTTTTAACACACATGTATATGTACTCAGTCAGACAGATAGTAATCGAGCATTTTCTGTGTTTTTTGCATTCTTCCTTTAGATTTGACCAACCACAATATAATGGCACTTTCAACTTCCAATGCTGTAGTGTTTATATGGACTTTCATTACAGATTCTGAAAAAAAAATTAGAAAAAATTTGTTTAAAATAAAAAACAAAATGACATTATTTTATCAAAATTCTTGTTATAAATATAGTTTTATAATATATTTATATTATATATATAAATTTTAGAATTCTTACTTATTATTATTTGAGAAATAATCAAATCAGAAAAATTTTGTTTCCTTTTGAATCCTAGCCAAGAGAATTATGCAGCCAAGATATCAGCGAAAATTTTCTCCATTATTCTTTTAACCATAATTTTAACATTCATTCCTCCAAATCTTGAAAGTTCCATCACATTAAAAGTAAGTACTTATATTATTATATTATTAAAATTTATCCCAATAACTTACAACTTCTTTCTTGCTTTTTTCATTTTTTAAATAATCTTCCACATTGTGAAGTTCTTCCATTGAACGTATGGGAAATTTAAATTTTTCAAATAAAGATTCTTCTTCCATTACATTATTCATCTTACGATCATTTAAATATTTCAATATTTGGTCCATTTTCCAATTGATACTCGATAGTGTCCCCAGTATCTGTTTTTCATAGGATTCATCTGAAAATTAAAAAGGAAATGTAATGACTAATAAGAATAAATGAGAGATTCATAACTTCTATTTTATAGAATATAATTTAATAACAATTTTAATGATATTGAGAAAACTGTGTGAATTAGTATGTAATAAGAAATATTTAATAGTTAATACAATACCTATAGAAGTGTTTTGAGGCTCAATGGTATTTGGAATTTCTTTTGATGTACCTGGCACTAAAAAAAATTCCTATGAAGTTTATACAAAAAAATATGAATATTTATCGCTACGGTGAATATCGGAACACATGAGGTCTGTTTTTTATCGCTGCACTGGGACTGCACGGACTGCACTAGAACTTCCCTTCAAGTCGCTTTCGCCAAATTGCAAACAAAGAGTCACAAGAATTGACCAATCACAGTCGATTATTCTCTTCAAATTCGATTGTGCGTGGTCAATCTTGCGATTCACGACTTTGTAAACCAGCACTAATGTATGTGTATATGTAGACATCTGTAGTTTCAAGCTAGGTTGAGATAGGTTTGGGATTATGATGCACAATGGAGTATCTGTCAAGAGTGTCAAGCAATACATTCTTTATATTAACTTGGAGTTTCGTGATTTCTCCGGTATGTCTGTGTTTCGCATTATTTCTACTTTCTCGGTTGTCATTCTTTTTTTCGTATTTTAATGTGATGTGGTGATATCGTGATATCGCGAAATCACGATAAACGTTCGTAGAAAATGTCATGCTTTGGATGTCGATAGAATTAATGTTGCATGAAAATGTTTACGTTTTAATTTATAATTTTTCTGACTTGTCTATAAATTCGATTTTCGGTTTCCTTGCATATATATATTTTTTCAGACTACTGCGCATTACTGTGTATGGGGCTTATGTGAATCGTCACAGTATTGTTGCGACGAAAATGTATGCTGCAGCTACAGAGACTACGACATATGGATCACTGTGTAAATGTGTCATAAAATAGATTTGAATTTGGTAAATGCGTCATACTTTACAACCATTAAGATCTAACAAAAATTTTTTCAACAGGGTCATCATAGCTGGAGTTGTAATTGGGATGATACTGGCTGGTACATGTCTTTACTATAATCTATGCCGTATCTACCTTTATCTACAAAAGAGATACTATGGCATCAGTTCCGTGTCGATGCCATCAGAATTTGATTCCGATGGAAAATCAATAAAACTATCATTTCAGGAGTAAATACAATTAAGTGACTCTCTTCATCATACCAAATATGTAAAATTCCACCTTTAATTATAAATAACAGTAAATTAGGTAAAATTATACATGTCTATAAATTTATTCTTCTGTGTTGAAAAAATATACATATCGAGAAAATTGCATCCACATTCTATATATATTTCTACCAAGTAATTTGTATTCAGTTGATGTTTTTCTCGTAACTTATATAAATTTTTATTTGCTGCTTATATTACGACAATTTAAAGTTTGACACACTTCTGACAAACAAGTCCTATACATAATCCTATATCTCATCTATACTATATTTCCATTCGAGTATCCTATCGCTAATTTTAAAGGCGTTCCAATTATCATTGATCTTTGATACGCGAGATTTAACGTGCACAGCCTCGCAAATCTCCTTTGTATCCTCGGGTATGAAAAAGTCTGAAAGTTTCGGTACTACATCTTTTTGCCGTGGTTCTGGATCTTTACTTCGCATAACGGTTGATGGCAATTGTCTTTCATCTATACTCAAATCCACTAAATTTTTGTAAATTGCTTCATCCAATGGAAAATCGAGTGCCGTGGAAATCTGTGACAAAAAGATAAACATTTTCCAATGTATACATATGTATATGCACACGTAGGGCCAATTTATATAAAGATTTACCTTTCCGTTTAGAAAACTCTTAAGCGTAGATGACAAATGACTGACATCTGTGACAATCTTCTGCTGCTCAAGTTCTTTCAGTTTATTTACAGTACACACGATAGAGTTGTATTCCGGTTGCGCCAAATCTTCTACGGTAACATCCGATGTGACGGTACGTCTTTTATTTCCATCACTTGCTTTTGTATTCTGCTTCTTGCGAAAAACTCCTGGCCCCACAGATGTTTTGATCTTAGGGCCCGATACGTTACGTAAAACGATTTTCTTGACTGGAGATATTTTATTTTTTGCCACAGTCTTGTAACGCGACGTAACACGAGATAGGGTAGTTGCAGGTTTTGCATTAAGAATTCCCCCTTGTATCATTGAATTCCTCGTTCTTTTCATAATGCTTGGTGCAGATTGCGACTTCGTCATGTTTGACCCTTTAAACGCTGGTCTTGCAACGTTTACTTTTTCCTTACAACCAGCCTGCAAAATACCTGTAAAAAGTTTAGATTTTAATTGAGTAATTGATTGTATCTTGTTGCGAGTTTTCCGTTCTTGTTTCGTTGACATTTAATTTGTTTAAGGGCTAGATATAGTTCTTTTCAATGGACAATTACCTTTATTTTCTTTCCCCTTTTGTTGCAAACACTTTATGCGCTCTCTCGAAACGTCATCTCGTGGATTTTTATCAAGTTGCAACATTTTACAACTCTTCCCTGTATTCTGAATACCATTTGCATCACGCAAAATCATTGTGCTCTCGACTTTTGTCACATTTTTATCAGAGAAAGATTTATCCTGGACATTGCCACATGTAATGCTGCGACATGAGGAGTTGTCATTGTTACAATTACTCAAAGACACATCTTTGTCACCAACACTTGTGGATTTTGTAGGATCTACAATTCTGATGGGCTTTTTAAGAGATAAGATTTCCTTGATTCTTGGACCATTCGCTTGCACAACAGTCTGTTTTTTACAATGTTCAACGATCTCCTCCTCGTTTTGCCCGTTGTCGGAAAATTGACAGAATCTAACTTTCGGTCTTGAAATTATTTTAATATTATTCGTCATAGCGAGATACCGTTCGTATAAATTTCATGTGACATGTGACTTCGCGATTAAATTAAACTAATAATTTGAATAAAAATATTCCTTTTAACGAGCGAGTTAAACGTAACGTCTCAGAGTCTCATATAATATGGTTATGGAAAATATTGTCCGAATCTCTAAAATTTGTGATAAAATCAAAATACCTTTTGCAAAATGTTTCACTGTAAAATTCAAATTTTATCTAAACGATCTAAACTAAACTATAAAATATATACCGACACGACACTCACGACAGCCACAGTATAACCAGGGGCTGCGTTCGGAAACCTCACTCGGGTTGACTCGGGTTTCGGGTTCGGGTGCACACCAGCGTCGTTCTGTCCTTGTTGAATTTTGAGTAAATAACAAAGATAGAACGACGCGGTGTACACTTGAGTAAAGTTTCTGAACGCAGCCCAGTAGTGTCACTTAAGCAGGGCACACACACTTTTCGTAGAACGTAAGGCCCCGGACACACACTTTTTCGTAACAGTAACAGTAGGATTTCGACCAATCGTGTTACTCGATTCGGGAACGTATGGCCGTATGTTTTCGAATCGAGCAACGCGATTGGTCGAAATCCTAGTCCGGTATTCATAGTCTTCAAGATCGTCTTAAGTAATGTCTTAAGACGCTAATAGGGCTCTGTGATTGGTTCATGACATCATAAGATTGAACTTAAGACGGTCTTAAATAACTATGAATACCGGCCCTATACTGTTACGTTCTACGGAAAGTGTGTGTGGCCAGCTTAAAGGCCATTGCACGTAACAAAGTTTTAGTCGTAATCGTAAGGTCATAAGAAAATAGACCAATCACACTCGATTATTCTTCGAGCGCGAGGAGAATAATCGACTGTGATTGGTCAATTCTTGCGATTCTCTAAAAGCTGTTCCGATTTTTATGTCTATGGTGTGCACGCGATGGATAATAAAGTTGGTAGCACTGTATATTAAACGCCTGGCCTGCCATCTATGCATGCCAAGCTTCAATTTGAATGAAGATTGTAACGATCTTCACGTGTGTGTCTTAATTTCAGTTTAGCGTCATAACACTCTCATCGAAGAACGAGGAATTGCTCTCACAATTGTTGCAGCATTCTCTTAATCGACGGAAAAAGAGCGGATCGACTTATATAATAATGAAGCCCGCGTAAGTATTGTAACGTAAAATGTAAAATCAAGTCTGAGGTTCCGTTCAAGTACACGCATGTGAATTTTAAGAGAAAAGAAATAAAGAAATGAAAGATTGAGATGGACCGACGTAACAAATGTTCCAGACGCCCGAAGACTCCAGCCCGTAAGCCAATCGGTCGGCCGAAGGGATCTAACATGATACCTACAGATCCCGTGCAAGTTTATTGTCGTTTACGGCCCATGCAATCTACGAAAGATGTATCGTGCATGAGAGTCACGTCTGATACGACGGTGGTGATAACACCACCGGAGTCATCAGCCAACTTTCGTACTACAACTAGCAAAGAGATACAAACGACGTTCAGTTATGTATTTACGTCCGATGTGAAGCAGAGGAAGATATTTGAAACAGTTGCCCTTCCCCTGGTTGAAAATCTTATTCACGGAAGAAACGGTCTCCTATTTACATACGGTGTGACAGGTAGCGGAAAAACTTATACGATGACCGGGGAACTGCAGGATGCTGGTATCATGCCTCGGTGCTTGGATGTTATTTTCAATACTATCGCGACGTATCAAACGAAAAAGTTTGTCTTTAAACCTGATAAATTAAATGGTTTTGATGTGCAAAGCGAGGTTGACGCTATGCAGGATAGGAGTCAAGAACTGTTGCAAAGAACTGGGAGACCCGGCAAACGGTAAGCTTTTTCCTAATACTTAATACCTAATAGAATTCTCGATAGAGATAGACGACAGTCTTGCTGTGTTAGATCACATAGGTGTTAAATAACGTTAAACTGATATCACTCATGAACGTACATCCAATAGGCGTAAGGTGGACAGCGATGGGGATAGTAATCCGACGGTAGCTCACGAACGTAATGAATCGCAAAGCGTGGCGGTTGACACGGATAATGTGTATGCTGTATTTGTCACGTATGTCGAAATATACAACAACAGTGTATACGACTTGTTAGATGAGGATGATATCAGAAACAACAGGTAAGAGCATCGCCTGAGGAAAACAATTTTTTTTTGCAATCTTGTTATGTGTTTTTAAAGCACCTATTTATTTCTTTAATTTATATTTAACATAGGACACTGCAGAGTAAACTTGTTAGAGAAGACGGCAACAAAAATATGTATGTACATGCCGTCACGGAAGTTGAAGTAAAAAGTGCGGGGGAAGCTTTTGAGCTGTTTCAACGTGGACAACGGAAAAGACGCGTCGCGCATACGGAAATGAATGCAGAATCGAGTAGATCGCACAGCGTTTTCACCATCAGACTTGTACAGGTAGTACACGCTCTTTTTGAACCTCTTGCTACATCAGAGTGAAATACAATCGCTTTAATGATTACAATGATTACTCTCCTGCATATTAGGCACGTTTAGATCCCGAAGGCGAATATGTAATGCAGTATAAACCGAACGTGTGCGTAAGCCAATTGTCTTTAGTAGATTTAGCAGGCAGCGAGCGAACGAATAGCGCTAAAACTACCGGTCAACGTTTACGAGAAGCAGGTGAGATGGCATCTGCACATTTTATTTGTCGGATTCGTAAAATTTATGAAAACCTTCAAACAATGTGTACATGTATAATTGTGTGTAGGAAACATTAATAACTCTCTAATGACCCTGCGATCGTGTTTGGAAATTTTGAGAGAGAATCAGACTCGGGGTACAAATAAAATGGTTCCCTATCGAGATTCCAAGCTTACGCAGTTATTCAAAAACTATTTTGATGGGGAAGGACAAGTCAGAATGATAGTCTGTGTAAATCCAAGAGCGGACGATTATGACGAAACAATTGTACGTCGTAAGATACTATGTAATATATCTATAAAGAAATATAAAATATCAATAATTTTTACAAAATATTCTGTTTGTGTGTAGCAAGTCATGAAATTTGCGGAAATGACTCAAGAAGTGCATATCACGAGGTCTAATCCTGTAAAATTTGACCTCGGTCTCACTCCTGGCAGAAGACAAGTGAATAAGGTAATGGCTGTAACTCGAATAACATTTTACAATTCTGAAATGTGCGCGCGCATGAGAGTACAAGTTTCATCACATTTTCAGATCAAGGAAACGAGAGGCAAATTGGAGAGAGGCCGAGTGGAAGCCGTTGATTTGAACATTGACATAGGTCCAATGTACAGGTGTGTTGCAACTTGAACAGCTATTATAATTCAAATTCCCCCCCTCTTTTTTCCCATGATGTAATCTAATGTTTTTATCACACTTTCATAAATTTTAGTTTGTTCGGACGCTTTCCTCAATTGGAGACTATCACCTCGGACAATGATCAAGTAATACTATCTTTAATACAATTCTTGGAACAACGTATCAACAAGCGCAACATGCTTCGTGCGGATTTACAAAAGAAACGTAAGACATACAATTTTAGCAAACTTATCTCATAATTAGCTAACTAACAAAGTGCTATGACGCGATGATGATGATAATTGACATGTACATTTTATTTATAGAAGAGGATTTTAGACGGATATTAAGGGGAATAGAGCAAGAAAATGGAAGTTTAAAAAGTGAAGTAGTTATGTTGAAAAATGTAAATACACACCAGGAAAAAAAGATATCGGCATTAGAAGGACACCTCTGCAAAACAGAAACGAAAATCAATATTCTTTCACGTGAATTAAACAATGCTAATGATATGGTGCGAAACTTACAGCAAGAGGTGAGATTCGTATGCGTGCAATGTATTCGTTCGCTCGTACACAACGTTAATTTAAATTTAATATATATATACGATGTTCGTGCATAGGTGAGAGATCGGGAGTTGGCATTAAATCAACGTTCAATAGATAAGCAAAGAGTGAAGCAGAGATATAATACAAAGATGCGAGTCGAGACAAATAAACTGACCAGAGAGTTAGAAATAAAACTGCATCAAGAGCGCGAACAACTTCAGGTAATTATTCTGACTTTATATTTAATATTTGTTTTTAACTTTTGCGCACATTAATAAAAAAATTTAATATGTCATTAATATATTTAGAATCAAATGAAGCTTCAAGAAGACAAGTTACGTCAAGTAAAGCAAATTGTCGGCGACAATAACATTAATCCTGCCTCATCGAGAGACCATGCTCCAGAGTTGACAACGAGAGTGGTCAGTCCTGATAGAGATAGAATATCACGAAAGGTTGCCTATTATGTAATTACTCTTTTCTCTTAAATATCTTTATATCGTCGTATAAACTTGAAAATTTTTGTATGTATAAAAAAGTTGGGGAAAGGGGGGAAAAATAACAATTTTGTTATATGTAGGATAGAATAGCCGTTTCGAACCCGAGGTATAGACGATCGCAAAGTGCCGACAGATGGATCGATCATAGACCTCAGACTCTCGTGCCAATCGGGACTGTACTGCAACCACTGATGCAAAGACGGCGAAGCGTAACGCAACTTACTTCCCCGAAAGAAATTACGGATGGCGCGTCTAGATATTGTCTTGTCGCACAAGAGCACGATACGGACGGAGAACTTGAAACGAAATTATATAAGGTTTCGCAATTTATGCATTCAGAGAATGTTGTTGACACGTGCAGTCTTTATTATTAATATACACAAGTTCAAGATTTCTTTTTTTTCCTTAAACAGGGCGACATACTGCCAACGAGTGGTGGTGGAGCACAAGTAGTATTTAACGATATGGAGTGTCTGAAACAATCGTCACCGAAGGCGAGGAAACGTACTGGACCTCGTGAAGAGGGAATGGACCAAGTAGATATTTCCACATCAACGGAAACGAAAAGACCACGAGTAATACCCTCGTAACTGAACGTGTCATTCATCATGATTTACTCGAGAGCGTCAGAGAAGTGAGATATCCGTGTAAAATTTTTCCTTCGCATTATTATATAGCAACTAGCAACTCGTATAAGGAGAAAAAAAATTCGTGACGTGTGACGAGACGTATGATATATTTCATGTATACATATCTTTTTACTTCTTCTTACGACCTAATCAAATCGTTATATCGTAAATCTCTATATTGCAATTATTTTTATTGTTTTTCAACAATATTCAAGATAAACAGCATTTGTACATCTAACATTCGTATGGGATGGTCATTACAGAAACATGTGGAAATGTATGAATATTATTATAATATTATACATCGATATATATGTATATGCTACCGTAGCCATTAATTATTAAGACGGGACGCTAATATAAAAATAAAAAAGTCGCGATGTAAGTGTAAAAATATATGTACAATTTTAGTATGTGTTAAACATCTGTGGCATTATTATGGATTATTTAAATTGTAAAGATGTATGTGGGCGAAGGGATGGATCTGGTAATGACGTAGTACCCGAGGTATTTCTTCGTAAGTTTAAAAAACGGCCCTCTTGCTTCGAGCTACAATTATATGATTTATATGTACATGCAATCGCAGTCAAATTTTTTCGTCAAATTTTCTCTGCTTGTTAGCGTTGCTCTTGCGACTTACCGATTTACGAGATTCTCATTACTGCTTTCTTTTACAAACGTTACCAATCCGTATGAATTGTGTTTATCCAATGTTCCATTGTAAACTAGCAAGTCGTCCACTAGTATCTACAAGAAACGAATGATTTCAGTACAATTGACAAATTGGAGAATTATCAGTCAGAATATACTTGTATATTGACGTAATTTATTTCTCTTACCGCAAATTCTTTAACTCTCCTTTGTGGAGTCTTCCCATAATTCCAGATTTTGATCATTGATACCATAATGGGATGATAAAATATTAAATACACACGATTTGTCTGAAAAAATGATAGAATATTAAATGGCGAATAACTGACTATCATCTTTTTGACGGTTTATTTTCGTTTACTTGTCCGGGAAGTATAGGAGCCAGCCAGGCATGCCGTCCGTCTCGAGTATCGTTTGTCCCATCGATAAGTTTGTCCGGTGTACGAATATCGTTATCTATTCCTTCGATTATGTTAACGCTTTCAGGAAATGCGGCTACGTCTAGTGAAATATGATCGGCATTGCTTAACCATAATTGGCTTAACCATTGGTGGTGGAAACATAAATTATATCGATGGAAATAATTTACAAATGCAAATTATAATTAGAAATTCTTTTCTCTTTTTTTGTCTTCAGAGAGGAAAGTGTATAAAATCAAGTTGATAATTTTGTTATAGCGTATAATAGAATTTATATATCTTTCATATAAACTTTCGTACAAACTGAACATACTATCTGTAGTTAACTTTATCTCGTTTCCATAATTGTCATATATCTGTATCCCATTGAGACCAACGTAGTAAGAATCTCCCCATGTAGAGAAAATTATTATTTGATACACGAATCCTCGCGGCATTGACGGAGCTTCGTAGTTCGAATCCAAAGGCTCGAGTTCTGAAAATCGTATACGACACATGAGCATTTTCCTGAAACCTGTATATACTCTTCTTGCACGCTGCCGTCTCTAATGACACGTACCTTCGGGCGATTTAATTGAATCAGTGATATAATCCAAAAAATGTTCTTGAGCAGGTGGTTTAAGGAAACTGATTTCTTGGACAAAGTCATAATGGCAAGATCCCGGCGCGCGTCTCAACAGGAAGCCGTCGGCATTCTCGTCGGCATATAATTGTTTACCGTCTAATTTAATTAGTAACTGTTTTACCTGTGCAAAGAGAATCTCCCTCTCGTTTAGCTGGCCGTTGCGTTATTGATAATAAGTTTTTGCGTTTGAACAATTGTATACATCTTACTCCGCAATAAGATAACTCCAAGGATGCGTTGTAATTCCAAATCCGCATTCTCGTTAGGTACACATCCGTATCGAAGGTAACAGTTATAGTGATCCTCTTATCTAACGTCAGGTCCGCTAGCCACATGCGATCCATTTCAGTTGTAACATTGTGCCCATCGATCAGTCTCGTTAAATGCGTATCGGCCACATTACAATGCAAATTGGCGTTTATCAACGGGACTGCTGTACCTTGATCTCCGATTAATTCTATACCGGTAAGGCCTACAAAGCCGAAGCCGATGCCGATAAAGATTCCGATTCGAGAGTGCATGATAGATTGCAGCGTTATCTTATTTAATGACGCTACTATTATTTACTTACCAACCAAATCCTGTGAACCCCAATTGGAAATAATAATTAACTGAATCTCTCTGCATGATAGAGCGGTAAGAGTGCAGGTATCGTGAATTTTGCTATCGCTATACAAGCTGGGAGAATTCTCAATAGAATCGTTGCTTTTACGTCTCGCTGAGGTAATCTAAAAAGATCACCTAGTTGTTATATCTATCTCGTTGTGTGTTACGTCATGCGTGTGCATTATTTTAAATAAATATATCGACGCGCGTGGCTCTCTTACATTGTCACTGGTTATCGTTGCCGTTATTGGGCGAATTATTTCTTTCTCTTCGCAATCGGACATCCCATTATTGAATTCTATGAACGTATTATCATGTTTTGATATCAATTCCAGAATATTTTCGTCCGTCGTAAATAATATAGTCTACATCAGCCAATATTTTTGCGCATTACGTATAAAATTAATTTCGTATAAAATTTATTATTATGCGTGACAAAGAAAAGAAGTTTGAAGACTGAGAATACTAAGGTACTATAAGCGTACGTATTAAATTAATAGATCACTATTAAATTAATATAGTGACACGCACAATTAATGTTTCTATGATATTAAACTATATAATTTGTTAGAACTATATATTTCATAATTTGTGATTTATTTGACAAAATTTCTTACATCGCCGAAGGAATCGAGGCTACCCATGTCGTCTCCTGAAGCTTTAGCGATTTCTCCGTAAAAGATGATAATGTCATTCAATTTAATAATAATATCTTTGGCTCCTCTAAAGGAATGTATTCTGGATTTATTGTAGTTCTGGAAGAAGAGAATAAGAAAAAGAATAATTTCAGATCGCGGTGAAGTGTACTTTTATGCACGTACGCACGCATTTTTTTTTTACATCTACAGATTAATTATTTTACGACAGTCATAAAATAGGTAAGGGAGCCTTACCCATATCCTGATCATTGCTATAGTAATCGTGAATTCAAATATCATGTAAACGTAATGATGGTCGCCATTCGAATAAGGTGTTAGCCATAAATTTGCATCGTCTCTCGTTCGATTAATACCATTAATTAAGTTATTTATAATATGAGGATCACGATCACGATCGTTGTTCAGTGATTGACTAGCGCCTGTCGTGTGTGCACGTATCTCTTTTATTCTGGCTGGTTCTCCAGTATTTGAGAAAATTTCGATACCATTGAGGCCTACGTAATGTTTGTCACCCCAGGTGGAGAGAATATCAATGATCAACGAGTCTCCGGACGGTAGTTCAGGAATAATAAAATTTTTGTAAGGTTTACCTAAAATTATTTCACTAAATTATTTGCATATTACGAGGACGCAGAAAAATGCGAGACTTTAACACGTTAACTGCTATGACTGTGGGGCGTGCCGTAACAGCCGGCGTCATCGAAATCTCTTAAAACGTTTGTAAGTATAATATAGTTAAGTGTGTGGTGTCGTCTGATATAAAATTTTTAAGTGACATAAATAAATAGTTGACAATGTAGCAATGTAAAGTAAAAAGTGCGCTAAACTTTAACACGGTATAATACTCACTCGTGACGATATTCGTTTTTGTTTAATCACATTACGCACATTTATTATTTGTCATTACGTGCTCGAGATAATGAAAATTTTACTTTGGCGTACAAAAGGTAAGATGCAAAAAATACTACTTGCTGGGTAGACAACGACGCGTTAATGCTTCTATGCTTCTAACGTGTATAATATAATATATATGAAGATGAAGGCACATATCTACTTATGATTTCAAAATGAATGTATGTCAATTTGCTACAAGGCTAATTATTATTTAACAAATAATTTAACAAAATCGTTTTCACACACAAAGTAATTGGTACGAGATTTGAGAAAGCTTCCCGATACCGACCAGATGGTAATGTCGACTTTTCTTCCTTTTGCGTGCTAAATGCAGAACTGTTGGAACAGTTGTCATCTGACAAATGTAATCGTGTATCTGCACGATTCGAGACATTTGGTATTTGATGCTCGAAGTAAAATTCTTCTTCGTCCAAATAATTTTTATTGGAGCTTGCCAAGCTTTGGAGCGTGTCGCGCTTTTCCATCTGTTTCCTCTCCAAACATGCATCAAATCCATGAAAATCGTTCTTTGTACGATATTTCGTATTTAAAACGGCCGAACAAGCACGTGTTTTTCTCCGCTTAACTTGTACTTGTTCGTTCTTCGGTGTATTCGGCAGTGATTTACTTGCGGACGTTTGTAATTTAATATCAGCATCGATATAAAGATCGCTTAAGCTTGCGCTAGGTTGTTTATCTCTATAAATAAAAATACTACCAAAATGAAATGTTTCACATTACTACTTACTGTACACACCGCTGTATGAATAACTCTTTAAACAATGTTGTTTTATCATATACATAGATCTCTTACGTATCATCTTCTGTTTCGACGGTGATATTCTTAAAACCATGCTGGTCATCGATTAAAAATGTTTCCATTTGTAGCGATTCGGCATCGTTACTTATGCCAATTCTTTCTATATCGCTAATACAAAGGATTAAAAAGGCAAGAGTAAAAAAAAGGGTAGAAAATAATCAATACTGTCATATTCATTTTTTAAGATGTGAGAATAAGTAATATGTAAATTAATACTATATACTCGGTCATCTCCAGTAACCACGATGGCATTTTAAGCGTGTTGGCAGCCAAGGATGTAGTTTTACTCTCCGTCTCATCATATGTAACATTATCCATACTTTATTTTCTCGTTTCGTCGCTGATAAGATCCTCGGTACGCCACAACTCGACCACTCTTATAATAATAATAATGGATCGCGAAATTCATGCACACACACACACGCACACACGCGCGCCACACACACCCACACACACACACGTACAATCTATTATTTATACTTTATTGAAAAGTTGCCAATTGCAATTTTTTCACGTTCGAAAGACGTACGCCTATTAATTTTCATGACTGCACAGATTCCAAATTGTTTAACTAGATGTTCAATACCGATAATAACCGGTCAGAGATCAGAGTCGGAGAAACACTTATCCATTGTCAGCTCGTTCTATTCTCGCTTTGTTTGCTATCGTCACCATGGAAACCCAGGAAACCCTTCCTGATGTGACTTTAGATATGTAGAAGCCTATGCAAGCCTATGCCTATCTGCCTATACAGAATTGGCCTGCTCTTTATAGCTGAACTTCTCTTGTACGATATATATATCTTTTATCTTTTTCTCCCCACATGAAAAGAAAAAAAGAAAAGATGATAAGATGACCGTGCAAGAAGTTCAGCTAAAAAGAACCAGACTTAATTTTACGTTACAGCGTAACGATTAATGCGCGCGCGCAACTCTAATACTGTGATAACAAGTCAGTTTTATCAAATATGAGAAGCAGTCTTTGGCCAATATATAATATTTTATTTCTTACTATATTTTACAAGTATTACACTCATTTCGGGAAGTATATGTCAATGACAGCGATGCTACATATGTTACTCCACGTTACTTTGGTCCACGAATTATACAACAACAAAAATAGACAGCGAATAACTCGTAACTGATCATCATTTTGTACTTTGCTTGTCCTTGCGATGTCACGGTATACATGTATCGCAAATTAATATCTTTGTTACATCAAGACTTTCGTATTTTAAATTGTCAGTACTGTACATTCTATACATGTGTGTGTGTGTGTGTGTGGATGGTGTGTATATGTGTGTTTGTGTGCGCGCGCTACACGCTATATACATACAAATCAAGAGACACGGTAGTGTCTCGCTTCAAGTACACGCGGAGCGAGACCGACCGTTGACTCTTTTACGCGACGCGATAAGTAGTATTACTATACATATTAATTTCAAATATACAATTAATGTGTACACATAAAGAAGTACAAATTAGAATGTTTTGTAATATATGTTTATAGATGCACATTACAGATGCACAAGTTATTTTATGATGTATAAACATATTGTAATATGACTGTTACAATTACCACAACTATATACTGAATTGCCTGATTTTATTCAATTGCGTCCGAGGATTGTTCAAAAAGTCCATATTCTGACCTATATCCGGGAGACTTTCTGACATCTTCTTATCATAACTTTTCAACGTAGTCCTTTTCTACTTCAACGCACTTGACCCATTGGTGCTCCAGCGCCTCTTGATGCCTCTGGCATAGAAATCTTTGTTCTGATTGTCCAACCACTTGTTAACAATAGCCATCACATCTGAGAATCGGATCTCAAATTTCTCCTCCCCCCCCCTCTCTCTCTTAATTCTCGTAAATGTGCTGAGAAGACATGCTTTTCAGGAACAGATATTTTATGAGTGCATTTTTCGCCAAGTAACGCTTATCACATTTGCACAAAAAGAAAAACTTAATCAATGAGGCTGAAATTTTACAGGAACATATAGAAAGGATATGTACATACTAAATACCACCGGAGTCCCTATCTCACACCTGCATGTAGGTCAGAACATGAACTTTTTAAACAACTCTGGTATATCACATAGTATTTTTGCTTTTTCGTGATTACATACTAAAATATTTGCCAAAGTATTGTATAATACAAATACAACATTCAATTCTTTTTTCCATCACAAAATTTAAATGGCGCGTGTTGGAAATCCTATATTAGATAAAGATGCGAGTTTAATTTAATTTTGGCACAATAAATCTGCAAACAGAAAGACTTTTAGTAGATAATAAAGATGTGTATTCAGTCAACTTGATTTCCATTTGTCGCTAAGCTAATACTAAGTTAATCTACATTTTATATAGATCCTAATGTAGAGACTTTTATCAAACTTATGAAGTATAAAACAAAATGTTTTTCCCAAAAATATTCTATAATATTCTTGCATTTGGAAAAGTACAGACATGATACAATTTTCTTTTTTACAATAATTTGGCATCGTTCATGAATGATATCGAGACTAATGGATACATTAAATCGAATACGAAAGATACAACGTTCGCTATAAATGTATATTCAAACTCGTCATGTAATTAGCAATAACTGACTCATATTAATATCTCTGCTAATGTAATATCAGATGTTTTCTTTTGTTTAACACACAACACATTCATAATATATGAATAGAGGCCGTCTTATATGACAGTCAGGTACTTAAAAATCTTCTTTTTCCCTTTCTTTTTAATACATATACACAATTCACTAGTCTTCTTTATATATTTACACACTCTGTGTGTGCGTGTGTGTGTGTATGTGTGTGTGTGTGTGTGTGTGTGTGTGTGTACGGTTTTAGTTTACTGACATTTGGAATAATTATAAAAAAATGTCTAGCTGTCTAGCACGGGCAGGTACAAATCACGATTAAAAAATAAATTTGTTCTTATCAAAAACTCTGAATAGACATAAATTAAAGGTAGATCTGTCTATCAAAAGATAAAAGAAAATATACAGAGTTTACCCTTTAAAACTGGGAATGAAACTACATTTTAGAATCTTTAGCATTTGGAAGAAATAGTGTAGAAAATAGTATACAATTCCAATAGTATACAACTCCTACAATTCCACATGAGGCTTTAGTACATTAGATAATTGTGGCATACTTGTGCCAGATGGTCCAAGAAGATTCGTCGGGCCTGTTTCAGGAAACACGTGGTTCAGAATCGCATAGTAGTGAAATCCAGCCGCCGCAGCTACGAAAAGATGCCAGATTGCGTGAGCGCAAGGTATACGGCCGTCCGATTTGAAAAATACTAAGCCAAGAACGTATATCAGTCCACCCAGTTTCAATTCCGTAATATTGTAATAGTTATACTGTAAAAAGATTTATCGTCAATTATTCGATGTACCTTTAATTAATAAGATTATTCGAAGCCAAATTATTTGAAATGTATCTATCTTGCTCGAGCGAAAAGTTTTCCGTTTTCGTGCTCTTAAAATGAGAGATTCAATGTGGGTAATCCGAAGACAACGTTACTCGCTACTTACAGCATTAAGGATCGCGACGCTAGGTCCAATACCCATAACCACATAGAAAATAGTTTCGAGCATCTTGTATCTCTCGTGAAAGATCTGCTGGTAGAGGATACCTATTATAGCCATGATCCAGACGACATATCGCATCGCGAACAAAAGCTCGTCGTCTGGGAAATGTTCTATATTTAACCATGGAAAGTAACTGGCCGCTATGAAGATGTAAATCATAGCACGATCGCAACGATGCAACGCATCTTTTAGTTGTCTAAAATATCATACGCGATGAATATTACCTCGTTTACCATGTTACGTGACGCAAGTTGTCGAGAGAGAGAGAAAAAAGGAAAACTACGTGTAAGTATTAATTGTGACAATGAGTAGGAACAAGTGATTATAAATAACGGTCAAATAAGATGTAATTGTGTCACCTGTTGTGATTGCAGTAGTGCACACTGTGGAAGAAAGTTGACACTGCAAAGACAAGGATCAAGGAAGTGCCGTATACGCAAGCGGAAACAAACTGAGCCCATGTCGCTGAACGCCGTACCAGTTCGATACTGCCAATTACCGAAGGTACAATCCATATTCCGTGAGTCGCCACATTTGCCATATGTTCAATGGATGTAGGAGTATACGCCTCGTTTGTGCATGCTCTCGGATTCATCCACTTTATCCTGCAAGTACATTCACAGTTGCATATCTCGTTTTCAGGTTGCGCCTCCTCTTTTTCCGTTGTAAATACTCCGCGTAGAAATTTTTCATAAACAAAAATTGCACATCAAATTATGGATAAATTATTGAAAATAATGAAATTATATACGTTCGTACAATTGGGCTGTGCCGTTACATGCGAATATTGCGAATAGACATTGACAACATAAAAACCAATAAATATTCTATGCTACTATGTACAAATTTATTTCATCATAAATCGACGTCGAATGAAGCAAATGGCATATTTTGCCGGTCGGCGCTGACGCGACAGGAAACCATTACATCATAAGAAATCATGGAATATGAGCAGTTGTTACATAAAACGAAAGAGGATTACCTAGTTATTACGCAAAAGACTATTTAGTTAAATCCGTGCAAAGCAGATAATGAAATTAAAGAATTATAAAAAAATATATACTATATACTATGTTACTATGTAGGTTTTGATTACACGTATATGGTACCTACAGTACAGTAGTAGATTAAAAGCATAGTGAATGATGAAATGGTTAAGTAATACATTCCTGGCATAGAGCTTAAGCTTATTTTTCCAATTCCATAAGCGTTATCTCAAAGTATAAAATACATGGTGCGCATCGAGAAAAAGCGTACATTATATCTATCTATTATATGTACATACACATGTGACACACACGAGTTGTTATATCAACTGCGAGATACCTGCTTGCTGAACTACTTTAAGGAGAGAGGAAACCTGTAATCCACCAAGTAATCCACGCTACGGCACACAGGATTTCTTCCCGCGTCTTCATATCGGTAGAATGGTAGAAGACGTCGCGCAGAGTACGCCGCATGCCGCTCGAAGATGCCGATCCTCTCTATTTCTACTCCTACAAGCGGTGCTAGTACATTCCGTTAAAGGTTTCACTCTACCTTAAGCCTTAAGGCTTCGTATAGGCATGCTTTTCTATCATTTTTAAGCTCGAGTAAAAGCCATACGGTTGCAAGGAAGGATTAATGGAGAAACTGAACGCGACAACTGAACGCGGAATTGTTTGATTACATAATAATAAAATGTCGAGATTAAAGTGCACAATATATTTCTCTCTGTCTCTCTCTCTCTCTCTTTTCTCACGTATTGCGAAAAATGCGACTGGTCCTTTTTGTACATCATATCCTGTACAGAGAAGAATTCAATTCTTAACTACTGTAGCTATGGCAAAACGTGGTATGCATGCATATAACGTACATTTATCACAGCTGTTTAGTGACCCGTGACCCGTGACCCGTAACCCACGACTGGGACTGGGACTGAGACTAGTGGGTAGCCCACAATCAGTAGCAAGGTAACAACTACTCTCGCAGAGCTTTATGACTGATAACAATATTACAATAACTGTATAAAATATAGAGACAGCGATACCACATATATCACTTGGATTTCTCGCGCACGTTTACATACACATAAGAAGTACAATACGATCAAGTATTAATCGCGGTCGTCGGTTAGACTGACCGCGTCAACATCATCAATACATCATTGACTCATGCATGCACATATAAATTACTTTGCGTATGAACAGATGCTACATGCCAAACGTCCAGACGAATTCCAAGGATGCAAAAATGCAAAACTATAATGAGAGGATAAAGATTAAAATATTAAAAAATGAGCGGGGAGAGCGGATTACCTAGCCTAAACCTAACCTAATCTAACTTAACAAGATGGTAATACCAAATGGGCTAGCAAGCTTTAAAGGGGAGCCCCAATCCAAAATTCTTTTTCTTCCGTTTTGTATATATGCGAAGTGACTCTAGTCAAAGTTAGAAAAACTGTATGTAATAAAGATTAACATCGCCCACGTTTATGTTTACGTTTATAAAGGTAACATAACGAGGCGCGTCTCGAAAGGCAGACATAATAATAAATAACATAATAAAAAGTAGGATTTCCAACACTTTCAAAACTCAGCTTTCGGCGGCGCTTAATTAATACTCCATCTCTATAGTCCGTATTCGGGTATCTTACTCTTTGATCCGTTGTAGTTGCAGGAAATTTTTGATAGATGCTGTGACAAACTGACGAAGGCAGGTACCGTCCATGACGTTAGATCAGTTGCAACGGGGCGAGATTTAATAATCCAACGGTAGAGAGATCTGATCGGCCGATATCCCAGTATTCTCAATATTCCCAATCCCGACGAGTATCCGACGAGTCTCTCGGTCTCGGGTAACGTGGTTAACGGCGGCGTAACAGCTGCCGGAGCAGCTGCGTCTTCCATCGCATATCGCTAGTGCCCGACTCGTAACGACGCGTTACGCTCGACATCGAACTGGAGAACTGGAGACTCGTTTCGTCGCGTTTCAGCCCGCAGCCGAAAATCCTGACGAAGGCGGCCACTCGCCCGGGTGCGCCCAGACTGCCCAGCACCCACTCATTCACTCGTTCGCTTATACAATAGCCTATATTCTAATACCGTACCGAGTACCGACACTA